AGTTTTAGTTGAATTTTCCTTTGTTAGTTCTATGTTACAATTATTAAACAGTTTTAGTTGAATTTTCCTTTGTTAGTTCTATGGTACAATTATTAAACAGTTTTAGTTGAATTTTCCTTTGTTAGTTCTATGGTACAATTATTAAACAGTTTTACTTGAGTTTTCCTTTGTTAGTTCTATGGTACAATTATTAAACAGTTTTAGTTGAATGTTCCTTTGTTAGTTCTATGGTACAATTATTAAACAGTTTTAGTTGAATGTTCCTTTGTTAGTTCTATGGTACAATTATTAAACAGTTTTACTTGAATGTTTTTTTGTTAGTTCTATGGTACAATTATTAAACAGTTTTACTTGAATTTTCCTTTATTGGTTTGGTTTGTTTTGAACTTTGAGCAAAGCTACATGAGGGTTATCTGTATTAGCTATCCCTAATTTAGCAGTGAATGACTAGAAGGAAGGCAGCTAATCATCACCATCCACCACCAAATCTTGGGCTACTATTTTACCAATAAAAAGTGGGATTCACCATCACATTATAACATGCCCACAGCTGAAAGGGCGAACATGTCTTGTGGGATGGGTATTCGAACCTGAGACCCTCAGATTGAGAGTCAAGTGCTATAACTAACTGGCCATGCTGGGTCTTTTCCTTTATTAGTTCTATTACATTAAATCCATTACTATGATGAGCTACACATTGTATAGGAATGAATATTGACTGATTAATTTGTTATAATTTTTGAATACAATAAATAATTGTTACACATCTAAACATAACAAAATAGTAATATTATCTAATGTAAAATTTGAATGAGTAATAAACTCACCACAGCCATGTGCTATTCTCCACTCTCCAATTGAAGCTTTAGTAACTGATCGACAAGTTTGTACAAAGTTTTCTATGGCTGAGCACTTACATTCCTCAGGATCAGCATTAGGTCGCTGAAGACAATCACAAACAGTAGATAAACAGAGAGTAATATAGGTATTTATCACCATGTTACTTGCACAAACTTCAAATGGTGGTTTTCTGGAATTAAAAATTGCTGTGATTAAATAGATATGAATTGTTTAACCACAAAAGTACCATAAAAATATATAACTACAGTACAATGGTAGACAGTATAATATCTTCATTATATTCAACAATTAATGCTAATGGATAAATGTTGTGATAAGTTTGTCTGAGGAGTTATTGAACAGAAGACACTATCTCTACTGACAACAAGAGAATAAACAGTGCTTGCCTAAACATAGCAGTCTACTATAAAGTTTAGGCCTTGAAATTTAGTGATAACATACAATTAGCATGAAAATAGTGGTCCAAAAATGGTGCTGAGAGACACATAATAGCATCCTATTACTAATAATCCTTTATGTTAATAAATCTGATCAATCTCCTTTTCTAAGCAATTACAAAAAGACTTCCCATTTTGGAGTAAAAAAGAAATACAACTCTTATATTTTATCACCAAATTTTAGATGCATTACTTTACTTCAAGATATCATGAAACGTTGACATATTAACCTGAAAATGTTAAATTTCTCAAATCTACTCATTGAAATTACACTAGCTTCCATTCCTGGATGAAGCTTGGATTATCTGTTCATATGGAGTTTTTAAACATGTTGTGAGTGAGGTAACACTAGCTTACATTCCTGGATGAAGCTTGGATTATCTGTTCATATGGGGTTTTTAAACATATTGTGAGTGAGATAACACTAGATTACATTCCTGGATGAGGCTTGGATTATCTGCTCATATGGAGTTTTTAAACATGTTGTGAGTGAGATAACACTAGCTTAAATTCCTGGATGAAGCTTGGATTATCTGCTCATATGGAGTTTTTAAACATATTGTGAGTGAGGATAACACTAGCCTCCATTCCTGGATGAAGCTTTGATTATCTGCTCATATGGAGTTTTTAAACATATTGTGAGTGAGATAACACTAGCTTGCATTTCTGGAGGTTTGGAGCATCTGCTTGGAAGGAGTTTTTTAACATACTGTGAGTGAGATAACACTAAATCCCATTGTTGGATTTAGGCTTTGAGCATCTGCTTGTATGGAATTGGGTTTGGACACAACAATACATTAACGCTAAAGTAACTAATTCACAAATATTTTGGTAGTATATTTGCATTATAAATAACCAAGGGGACTGACATTGTCTTAAATTAGCAGTTTTGCTTTGTGATATGCAAAAATATTATAAATTTCAATTATTATTTTACTGTTTTGTGTAAAGAAACTATACCCATTGAAGTGATCTACCAAAACTTATCTCTTTCTTTGGCCCCTCTGAGAGAAAACTGGAAAGTTTTACAAAATTAATTATGTTTGTTTGTTGTAAAGCACAAAGCTCACAATGGGCTGTCTGTGCTGTGCCCACTATAAGTATCAAAACCTGGTTTTTAGTGATGTGAGCCCACAGCCTTACAGTTGAGCCACTGAGAGGCATACAAATAATGAATCAAAAATTCTTTGTTGTCT